CATGGCCCTTATGGCCCGAGCCCCGTGGACTCCTGGCTTTGCGCAGGGTCGGGGCAGCGATTTGAGCTGCATGGGCGCGGCAGCTCCGCAGACCCAGCACCCAACCACCGCAAAGTGGTGGCGGTCGAGCGCCTGATCCGTCACAAAACGCACAAGCTTGTGGCCATTGTGCCCGCCAGCAATGATCCGACGGTTGGCCCCCACGGCCCGCGACGCGACGGCGCCGGGGCACTCCGCCTTCGAGGGCGACAGAACACGGCACCGCACGCACCACCTGGCCCCCATCGGGGCCGATAAGCCCGCGGCCAAGCTGGGGGAACACCAACTGCAGCACAGGCGCCTTGTTGGGCCTGGCGCCCGGCCTCAACAAAACAATATCTTGAGAATTCATGGGGGGCCCCAGCTCGCGCAATGAAATGAGCAACGTCCTCAACCAGAACTTGCGCGAGCTGGGATCTCCCGCGATCTGCAGCCGCCAGCCTACCTCGGCCGGCCGCGAACTTCGCCCAGATATCAGCCGAAAAGTGTCCAAACCGATCGCGGCGGGAAATCCGCCCGCGCTCCGCGTCAGCTTCGGAGAGATGGGCACGGGCCCTCCGAACCTGGAGCCCCCGGGGCCCGATCCCTCCCAAGTCCTCCAGGGCGACCCAGAGAACGCGCCAGAAATCGGCCCATGCCGCAGCATAGGTCGTCGCCCCTTGAGGGCCACGCTCTATGCCATCAGTAACAAACTTCGAATCCGTGACCGCGCATATGGGCGGAACAGAGACACACAACAACTTGACTAGTGCGAACAACTCTGCGCCATCGATGTCACGATAGGCGAACGGCAGCCCGCCGTGCACCACATAACTGACTCCCAGCGGGGTCAGCTTCATGCAACGCCACAATCGCCCACTCCGCCGAACCCACACCGCCCCACCCTCCATCGAATAGCGAGCCGTCCAAGAAGGCTTCGCGGGCGCACAAGATGCCGCCTCCAGCGTGTATCTGCCACGCCTCGCAATCATCATCGGGGACTCTGAATGAGTCGGGCGCGGGGGGCGATGGCCGCAGCCCGCGCTCTAGCAGGCACTTTTTTACCTGCGGGCACGGCAGCCGCGCAAGCAACATCTGAAACCTGTCGGGCATGGAAGGGGGGGGGGGGGGGGGGGGCGCTCGCCTCCCGCAGGCCCCCCTGACGCGCGCAGTGACGGTGGGCCAGGGGCCCGATCCCAGGGCAGAGGAGACACCCAGACGAAGCAACCCAACCAGCTTCGCGCTTCCTCGCCATCGGCCACTGCCCATTAATCAAAACACCCCTAAGGTACGCGCGCTCCTGCAAGGCCAAACTGCCTAGGTCTCTACACTGGTGGCTCTGGGGCCGCGAACCTTTCAGAAGCCGAAGTGGCGGCGCCATCGCAGCACCTTTGCCCAGATGTTCGCACCCTTCAGCGCCGACACTCTTGGCCCACTGCCAGGCCTCAATCCCGCGGGCCAGGGGCCCCCTGAGGTACCCGACCGAGACGTACCGAACATCCACCGATACTCCATCGTGCGCAACCCAGGCGAGCACATCATGGTCCGAGAACTTTCAGGAGATCCGATCGAGGGGCAGCTTGGCGGCCCCGAAGGGCCCCTGGACCTGGGACCACATCTGAATCTTTTTGGCCGCCAGGAGCCCGTCCGACACGACCTTCGCGGGAATCCAAGTTCCCCACAGAGCACGCGCAAGAGAGCAAGGACAGGGAGCAGCGTGACACGACAAATCGGATCGAGCTCCCTGCCCAGCATGAGCGCCATCGTCCTGGACTTACCTGCACCGTGCCTCTCGATCGCCGAAAACATGAGACTCCGAATAGACTCCAGCTCCGTTGCCGAGGTACCTGTCACCGAAGCCCCATAGGATACACCTGCCTCCATGCCTGCACGCGCCACGAGCCGAGTCGCCACTCTCTTACGGGGTCCACAGCAAAACCTTCGAAGTCGATGAATTTTCGATCGCGCCGAACGCAGTCGCTCGTGTCGGACCCGTCGAAGCACGCGACGCCCACAGGCGAAATCAACTCCGAGGTTTCTTTCACGTCGGGACGCCTGGGCCCCAATGCGAACAAGTTGCCGAGCAGTCTCAGAACGCACCTCGCTGCTGCTTGACATCGCACGCGTCTTGTCATCATGTAGCTGTAGATGACGCACATCCAGTTCATGTTGCAACGCCTCGGACGCCTGAGCTATTTCACGAGTGACGACCTTACACGACCCAACTCAATGCAGAATAATATCGTCAACCACCACAGAATGAGCCACCGACCGCCCTAATGACCATACTCGACCGAGAGGTTGGAGTAGGGCAAGCTTGAGGAAAGTGGTGGCCCATCCGTCGCCAGGCAAGATGGTCTGATCGACCTGCAGCTCGTCCGGGACCGCGGTGCCGAGGGCGAGGAACCTCGGTGCTCTGTACAATAGAATCTGGAGCCGCAACTGCCAGGGGAAATCCTGTTCTCAACGCCGCCTCCAGGAGCCAATGGTGCTGAACCTGTTCGAATGCTTTCAGGAGGTCCATCATCACCTGGGCCGACGTCCATAGGCCCGCCTGGGCCCCTTTGCCTTTCACCGCGGTCCATTCGGACCACGCCGACTGTTGCCACACGGCCCGCTCACACGATTTTCCAAGCGCAGCCCAGAAATAATGCCGAGCATTCTTCACCTCCCACTCTTTCGCGATGGGCATTCTCAATCTGGCTTGGACCCTGGCGACGACATGGAGCAGCGCGATGGGGCGGACCCCGCCCAATCGCTTAGCCAAAAACGCAATCTTCGTGACCAGCGTCGGCCAGTCGGCCGCGGCCTCGATGGCCGTGATCAGGTCGATCAAACATTCGACCGTGGAGTCGCACAACTCGTGTAGCTGCCTCGGCCTGATGGCGCGGAACCCCATTGCAGACATTGGCTTGAAGGACCTCCGGACCCTGCGCATGTAGTCGAGCGTCGGCCGCGGGGGCCTCTCCCCAAGATCCCCAGGCCTGCTCAGTATCGGACGCTTCTCCCCCAGCTTCCACCAGCGACCCCAAGTTTTCTGCAACTTGTCCACCTCTTGCTGCTTATTGAGGGGTTCGGTGGGGTCCTCGGGGCACATGGAGCTACTCTGCCAGCCTTGGGGGTCCTTAGAAAGCGCGTGGAGCCCACCAACACCTCCCGCAGACTGCTCCGAGACCCACTTCCTGAATTTAGCAGCACGCCGTTGCAAATCACGTCGGGCCACTCGTGAGGCCTCAGTTTGCCCACCGCTCGAAGCGCATTGGCCCGCGTAATTGGTTGTCCCACCTGAGAAGCAAACGACATCGAAGCACCCAACTTCCGCAACCAGATGGCCTCGGGGGACACCTTCGGGAACTTCGGCGGCAGGGGAGGCTGAGAAGAACCCACTTAGGACGAGGAAGCTGCGCTCTGCCGAGATGCTTCAAGCGGTCATCCGCAACTTGGTACACATCACACCACTCATGCTCCGCTGCACTGCTGAACATCTCCCATCCCTTGGATAATTCACTAGCTTCTCCTGATCCCGTGGGCATGCTCTGACGAATATGCTCCCACAAAACGTTGAAGTCGGCCGAGGCACACCCTGACGGGCGAGCAACTGGAAACGGTCGTGGCACAGGGATGACACGCATCCACGGCTGGCTCAAACCCGACTTCAAAACCAAGGAGACAGCTGCGTGGGGACTCATCGGGATTGAAGGCTCCGTCTGCACCTGGGTCGGCACCAAGTGGCTGGAGACGAGGAAGAAATCAATCACACGCCACGCTGGTGCACATGTGCCCACCTCCTCCTCCTCCTCCTCCTCCTCCTCCTGCTCTTGCTCCTCCTCCTCCTCCCCGTACGTGTACACTTAACATCGACCACCTTGCGCACGGGAACCCGGACTGCTACATCTCTGCCTTCTTGTACTTAACCCCAGAACCCCCTGCGGTCCTGGAGGAGGTGCGGGCCCTGCTTCCGTTGTTGTAGCTGCTCTCAAAAGCTAGGCGTACGAGTGATGAGCAAGATGAATTGGAACGTGCGCTTGTGTCTTGGCCTGTACCCATCGTCGTTATCTCGTGTGGTGTGGCTCGTGACCCTGTGAATGGTGACCTCGCTCGTGCTAACAGTGCGGAGAAATGGCACATTGTCCTGATACCAGGCCGTGCTATAGGCCTCATTGGAAGCTCGCCCTGCGATACTTGGTCCGCAGCACGACGGCAGGAGCTCAGAGTTCATCGGTATCGTCCTCCTGATCCTCTTCGTACGTTGAAGTATCGTTGGGGTCGTCCTGATGTCCAGGTTCGACAGCACCAACAATTGTCCACCCAGCACCAATTGATGCTGACCAGCTTCGAGGTAGAAACCTGTGCGGGCAAGGAACATCCTGAGACTGCTCACTCAGAAGTGAGCTCTCCCAGCTCGTGGCAGTTCGCCACTTCGTGTGCCGTGAGTGCCCCCCCCGCCTCTCGCACAGTATCATTCGACCAGTGCGTATATGGACAAATCAACAAATCAATAAGGCTCCGACTACGTTTCTGTGTATTCGGTTGGACTCACTTGTTGAGGCGATCCAAGGATGGGGGAGAGAGGGCCGGTGCGACCTTCCCAAGACGGCCCACACCAACCTTCTCGATATTGGTCCTGCCACAAGAAAATGGCGAACTGTGCCGTGTAAAAGGTACCCTAAGGACCTATGTGCGGCTATAGCGCGTGCGATGGCATTGCTCGTGGATGAGGCTTATAGTAGATGTGACTATGATAATCTTGATTCCGGTGAACTTCCTGAAGGCCTGAGCGTGTGGAAGAAACGGATGATATGGCCTTAGATCTTGCTGGTTTCACACGGAGAAGGCCCGAGAATACTCGTTTTGACTGTCCTCCTGCCCCGCCCGCCGCCCCCCGGGAGAGCCCCTCTGAGGTGCCCGTCGCACGGCATGTGGCCCCAGGAGCCTGACACTTGGCCTGAGGAGCTTGACACTTGGGCTGAGGAGGCTATGTTGCGGACCCGTGAGGTGTCTGGGAACCCCTGCGCGCAGGAGGATCAGGAAGATCAGACGGGGAAGGGGAAGCAGTTAGGATGGGAGATGGTAATTAGCAGCGGGGGCAGAACCAAGATCAGGGAAGGGACGGAGCGACGGAGGGCGCGGTCAGTCAGCCACGAGGGCAACGCTCAAATTCGCCGCCCTCTTGATGCAACGCTCGATACGCCATGTCGCCCCTCACCTGCCGGTTGCTGCCGGCGTGCCACACGTTCGACTGCTTAGCGATCCTGGAGCCGAACTGGATCGCACGCTTCTTGAACCTGGCGCAGGCTCCGAGACCGCGCGAGGCGGCAAAGTCTCTCAGCATCCACTTGTCGGGCACGGGGTCGGCCCCAGCAGGCCCGAACGCCAGCAACTCGATCGGCAACGAGCCCACATAATTCAAGACGCCGTCGTCCAAGAACGGATGACGGGCCTCTCGGCCGTGGTCGGCCACTATCCTGTCGTCCCGTCCGAGGTTCCGGGTCCAGAGCCTCTGGAGGTCTTTCATCATCTCCCCGCGCGCCCCCTCAGCGCCGCGGTGCGCCTTTGCGGTCCGGTGCCTGCCGTACCCCCCCAGCAGCTCGTCGGCCCCGGAACCCACCAGCAGCACCCGCGCCGCTGCCCTCACTGCGGCGGGAGGCCGCGCGCCTTCTTCGGCGCCAGGCGACCTGCAGCGCTCTGAGCTCAGGTCGAGCACGGGAGGCTCGGTGGCGAGCTCCGCCGCGGCCGCCGCCACTTCTGCCTCGCCGCCGCCTCGGATCTTGTGCGCCGCACAGCGCACTGGGCCGCCAGCAGCGGTGGCCTGCAGCGCTTTGCGGCAACACAACTTGCACATGCTGTTCGCGCACCCAGGCTTTGCGGGCTGCTTGCGGCACGCTGGGCACCGCACGCTTCCGGGCTCGGGCGCCGCGGCCTTCAGCTTGGGCCCGTTATCCCCCTCCTCAAGCTGGAGGGCCGCCACGTGCGACGGGTCCTGCTGCAGTCTGAGCCACCACTCCTGCTGGCAGAACGATGGCGAACATACCTCTCCGATGCCTCGTGCTGCGAACCACAGCGCCGCAGCGATGTTGAAGTCCAGGTGCGTGGCCTGGGGGCCAAGCATGCGGCAAATGTCGGGCTCGTGCTGGCGGACCTCCTCCTCCCGCACGTCCGCGAGGATCAAGCGGAACCTCGACGCACCGTAACGCTCCACCAGCTCTGCGAAGCTGAAGAGAGCCGTCAGCCGGTCGGGAGCGGCGCGGTCGAAGGCCACGTTCAGGAGCTCGAGGGGCTCCCCCGCCGGCAACGCCTCGACGGCCAAGGCAGCAAGGGCAGTGGAGTCGAGGCCACCAGAAAACAGCAGCCCCACCCGGGCGCTGCCTTGCGGTCCCTCAGGACCCGCCGCAACAGCGACGCGGCGTGCCACCGCAGCGGATAAGACTTGGGCGAACTCCTCAACCATGTCGCTGCGCTGCCTCGCCGGCGCCTCCGCAACTGGCGTGGTCCACCACCATGACTGCTCGAACGGCGGCCCCTCCCTCCAAGGCAGATGATGCACGGAAGGCTGCGCGGGGTTCGCCAGGCTGAGGACAAAGAGGCCGTCGACCGGGACCTCGCTCCATGAGTCCACTGGCCCCGACGCCACGCTGGCGACGCACACGTCGCCCGTCGCGGAACGCGAGGCCATTAGCGAGCGGCGGCCCAGCTTGTCTCGGGCGAACAGGAGAGTACGGCGCCGCGGCGACCACACCGCCAGCGAGAAGGGGCCGTGTAGCCTCTCCAGCAGCCCGCGGAGCTCCTCCGCGAAAGGCTCCCACGCCCCTGCAGGCTCGGCCGCACCCTCGCGCTCGGAGATCTGTGCCGCCAGCCAGGCGGTGTCGCTCTCCCCCTCAGGCAGGTCGAGCCAGCGCTGCTCGGCCGGAAGCCTGACAGCGCGCCCCAGCTGGGCGTGGCCCTCGGGCTCCGCCCGCACGGCGTAGACCTCGCCGTTGAAGAGCAGCCAGCCCCCGCCCGCGAGGCCCGACGGCTGCACCGCGGCGGAGCGCGGCCCCCGCAGGTGGAGCACGGTCGAGCGCAGCTCTCGGGGGACGTCAACTGACCGCCTCACCGATCCTGGGCCTCGGGTGGGCCTGGGCTAACCGCGATCCGCGATCCTCCTCATCACTCCAACTGCTCGAGCTTCGACCCTCCTTCCTCCTCCTCCGCGATCCTTCGCCGCCTCATCCTCCATCCCCCTCGATCGTCCATCTCCTTTGTCTCCAGCCACCAGATCGGTGAGGCGGCCAGCTAGACGTCCCCCGAAGCTCCACCTCCAGGCCCGCGCCGCTCTCGGCGCACCGCAAGGCCGCGCTCTGGGAGCCGCGGGCGTCTGGCCCGCGCCTCGGGAGGGCGGCCGCGGCGCCCTCGAAGGCGGCCGGGTCCACGGTGCCCTCGGGCAGGAGCAGGCCAGGGCTGCCGCCCCACTCGACCGGCGCCAGGAAGCGGAGCCACGCCGCAAGGCCGCACATACCGCCCCCCCTGGGCCCCCCCGCACAAGCGCGCCACTAGCAGGCGCGGGGGCGCGCCGCCACACTCAACAAGCTGCGGGCCTCCTGCTTCCCTCTTCGTCTCCTCCCTGCCAGAGCCCGCTCGAATTCAGAGCCCATGGACCCCGCCTGGGCACCGCGAAGTTCGACGGGATCTTCGAGCTGAGCCCAACAGGGGTGTTTTTCCGACGGGGGGACCCTTCAGGAGAACCAGTGTGTTGTTGGAGTAACGCAGAGAAAGAGAGGAGGAGGAGGAGGAGGAGGAGGAGGAGGAGGAGGAGGAGGAGGAGGAGGACGGGGAGGAGGACGACGAAGACCAAAGTGAACCCAGCATGCATCAACGATGCTGCAATACATCCTCCCGCCCCAAGTCCCCTCCTCATGATACGTCCCTACAATTCTGAGTCGCCGTCGATAACACCGACTCGAAAACTAATATGGCCCACTCGCTCGACAACTACACATGATGGGTACAACTCTACTCTCTCCCCTGACTCCGTCCAGAAGATACCCCGCCCTCTCCGCATCCAGATTTTTACACAACAGGATTTCAAGCCATGTGTTCTTCTTATGGTAGTTTACAATCCGATGTGTTTTAGGTGATTCAGGATGGTCTCCACAATGCATCGTGGGTCGCATTTTCTGATCGGCGCTTTGGCATCGTGGGCCTCATGTTCTCATCGGCGCTTTGCTCTCGTCGATCAGAACGACGCTCTCGCCCAAACGCGGGCGATTGTTCTGGATCCGAATATTTTTGTTCATCGTTGTCGCCCCCCTCGGTTCCCCTCCTCCACCTTCCCCTACTCCTCCTGCTCCTCCCGCTCCTTCCGCTGCAGCTACTGTTGCTGCGTCCTCGTCCTCCTTTGCCCCAATCCTCCTGCTTGTTATCCTCCTCCTCCTCCGATGAACTCAGCTTCGTTGTTTTCCGATCGCGCGTAACACGATGGGATCCTCTTTGGACTTCCAGGTCCACTATGGCACGCGTCCACGGATAGAGAACAAATCAGCGCCATGTCAAGCAAGGGATGAGTGGGAGAGTGGGAAAAATAGGATGTCACATATGACGCGAACGCACCTAGCTTCTCTGCGCCGCTTCCGTGCGCCAACCCCCTCCGCCACAGACGTCCACGGCGACACCCAAATTGAAAACCGATCGATTCGATAACGAAACCGAAACCGACCGACACTGATAGGTCGAGAGCAATCCAAAAGGACGCAACGGCGTAACTGTCGACCGAAACGAACCGCGACGGCCGCGAGGCAACCACAGCAACCACATGCGAACCCCACCCCTGCAGGGGGCAGAACTCTGATAAAGCGGCTGGGGCTCGAGACTTGAGCCCACATTTTGTGCCCCCGAAGTCTCGGCGCGGATGCCCTCGCTGCCCCAGCCGAACGCCCCCGCGCCAGGATCGCAGCCGCTGCCTGCGCTGGCGGCGCACTTCTCGAGCATGCGGCTGCGCCACGCGCCCGGGCCCTCCGACAGCACGGATTGCTCCCACGCGCGGCGCGCCATCTCCGCGGCTGCCACTGCGTCGCCAGCCTCGGCGGCGACCTGGTAGCCCAGGTGGTACGCGCAGCACTTGGCGGCCGGGTTGCCCCTGAGCTCCGCGTCGATGACGTCCATCATTTTGGCCACAACACGCCCAGCAAGGTGCTGAGCCGCTGGAAGCGCGTCGCGAAGCTTCTGGAGCACCCTTCGATTCCCGTCGCTGATGCTGCGTGCCTGGCCCTCGAAGCTGCAGGCCTCGCAGCTGCACTCGAAGCGGAACACGCGGGCCAGCTCCGCCTGTCGCTCGTCGCGCGTCTGGAAGAGATCCAAGTAGGTGATACAAAGCTCTTCGCCCTCCTCGATGTCCCTGTTGGCATACAGGACCTCCGCATGCAGATCATCCTGCCAACTGTTGTATACATTGTGGACGCAACTGTGGTTGAAGCGGGACACGGTCGGGTAGACACCGATGCCTTCGCCCTCCTCCTGGTCGACCGGCAGCCCGTTGGTGCGAACTACCCCCAGGGCCGTCTTCTCTCCTGCGCCCGCGTGGGCGTCCGACAACTCCCAGAAGCTGCTCGCCTCTGCCAAACTACAACGCCGCAGGGCCTCCTGGACCTCCGCCTCAAGCTCCGCGGGGTCAGAGGTTCTCCGGACGATCATGATGGGCCGCTCCTGCAAGATCAGCTCGCCCCGCTCGATGGCAGCCGTCGCCACGACCGCCAGGCCCTTGCCACCGACCGGCTGCACCTCGAACTTGCTCGCGGCCGCGGCCGCCGCACGGGCTGCCGCCAAAGCGCGGGAAGCCGACCCAGACCGACGGATTGATTCTGTTCGATCCGCGTGCCCCAGATGTGTTCCGTCCCTGATCCGTTGAGGGTCCCAAGGGGCCCGAGAGCGCGAAGCGCAGTGGGACCGAACCGACCAGTCCGACAGAGGTCTGGGGAGGGTCGCGGGCGCGCGGCGTGCGCCCCGGCGGCAGCAGCCGCCGCGGCCGCCAACGCCAGCGGCCGCACTCGGAAACCATCGGCACGCGGCGCGGAGCGTGTGGCCGAGGCCCAGCCCCTGAGAGCCCAACCAAAGGGCGCATCGGCGCCCGAGCGCGGGGGCCCGTGCCCGCGGATGGCCGACAGCGCCATTCTGCAGGACCTTGGGCCGCAAGGAAGGGGCGATCTTTCGGTCCAGGGGTCTGGCACACGGGTCCACGGCTGTGGTCGGGGCTCCGGGCCGTGGGCTCCAGGTCCGGGTGCCACCGTTAGATGTAGATCATGCCAAGAGGACGCCAACATGCGTGAATGCATGCGTGTGGGTTCCGACCTTTCCAGAACAATTGAAGGAATGCAAACAGACGAGGTGACAACCAAGAATTGAAAGCATAATCGAGGAGAGTCGGGGCCTTGCGGACTTGGACGATCACCCGCGCCAGGGGACTATTCCTCCTGGTCGCGCCCGGCACAGAAAGGATGATGTTGCTGCTGCTGATGATGATGATAATAATATAATAATAATGATGATGGTGATGATGATGATGATGATGATGTTGAGGATGATGCTGATGATGGTTGGTGGTGATGATGCTGCTGATGATGATGGTGATGCTGATGATGCTGATGCTGCTGATGACACTGATAATGATAATGATACTGATGATGATGATGATGATGATGATGATGATGATGATGATGGTGATCATGATGATGATGATGATGATGATGATGATGATGATGATGATGATGATGATAATGATGATGCTGATGCTGATGCTGATGATGATCCTCCTATATCCTCCTCGCGCGCGCCCGTTTCTGCTGGACGCGCGCGCCGCTGAGCCGCAAGACCCAGAAGGGTGGTCGTGCCGGCAGGAACCATGGGCCCTGCCGGCAGACGCCTAGGCAGCCCGAGGCGCAAAGGAGGCGCCAGACGGGCAAAACGGCGGACGCCTGAAGGCGGGGGCAGCCGCGGGGCAGGCCGCAGCATCAATCCGGGGGGGCGGGAGGGTGCAAGCTGCGGCCGGAGAGGGGGCGAGGATCAAACGCATCCTCCTATATCCTCCTCGCGCGCGCCCGTTTCTGCTGGACGCGCACGCCGCTGAGCCGCAAGACCCAGACGGGTGGTCGTGCCGGCGGGAACCATGGGCCCTGCCGGCAGACGCCTAGGCAGCCCGAGGCGCAAAGGAGGCGCCAGACGGACAAAACGGCGGACGCCTGAAGGCGGGGGCAGCCGCGGGGCAGGCCGCAGCATCAGTCCACAACCACTCCAGGAGGGAGATGGGCTACGCAGGCCCATCGCGACTCAGCAAGACCAGCTGCGCCGAGCTAGGAGATCGGACGAGCGGTGCAGCAGCCAAGGCGCCACTGCACTGAATCCCACCAGCCCTCTCGGCGTAGGTGGTTTAGGGAATTTCCTCTTCCATTTTCCCTTCTTCCCCTTCGGGGATGGGTTTACCCCTCCCCTAACCCCCTTCCGTGGACCTGGACGGGGGGTTTCGCTGGTAGTTGGAGCGTCCAAAAAAACGGCCTCGGCGAGGAAACCAAAATCATCGATTTATTACGGTTTTGGCCGGTTTTAGAGGGTCCCGAGGGGGGATGCTAATTGAGGGACCCCGTTCCTTTGATCGATCACCTCCAAGATGGCCCCACGAGCGCTCCCAAGGCTCCCAAGAGCGCCCCAAGAGGGCCTCAAGAAGCGCCCAGGAGGCCCCAAGAGGTCCCCAAGAGGCCCTGAAGAGGCTCCCTAGACCCCCAAGAGGCCTCAAGAGCACCCCCGAGGCATCCAAGAATCCACCAGGCGCTCCAAAAAGACCCCAAAACAACTTCCAAGGGACATCCTAGGAGGCTCTTGTGCACGTCGTTGTTCTTGTTCCTTCTTATCTTTCTCCTCCTCCTCCTCCTCCTCCTTGTCGGCCTACTCCTCCTCTTTCTCCTCCACTTTATCAGCCTCATCCTCCACCTCCTCTCCCTCCTTTCCTCTTCTCTTCCTCTCCTTCCTCATCCTCCTCCTCTCCCTCCTCCTCATCGTCCGCCTATGCCCCCTCCTCCCTCCTCCCTCCTCCCATTTTTTCCCACCTGCTGCCCCTCCTCCCCCTCCTCCTCCTCGTCTTCCTCCGACTCCTCCTCCATCCTCGCCCTCTCGGGTAAGACGGGCCCCCCAGCCCTTTGCTACTCTGTATGCTCCCTCACTTCCCTGATCACCGCAATTCGCCTGGGCATCTTTTTTGGATGGGCTGGTGGGGATATTTTTTGATCTGCGGCTCGAAGGACGATTCCAGAGAGCGGGTCAATCTCGACAGGGGCGCAAAGCGAGATGATTGGCAACGAATGCACATAGGTCAACGCCACAATGCGCATCCGAGGGACAAAATCAACCTCATTAGAGCCGACCCGGGAACGGAAGACGGCAGCAGACCGGAAAAGCCGGCGGAGGGTCGCACTGTGGCGCCAGCCCCCACAGACCAAGCCTGCGCGAAGGCGGGAACAGGAGAAGCACCGCCAAACGCGACGAGGAGGAACGGAGGGGGGGACAGGCGCGGAAGGCGACGAGGCGAGGGGGGGGAGGAAACAAGGCCTCACTCACAGAACACCTCACGTGCTCGAAGCCAGG